CGGAATGCCGGAAATTCTATTTCCGAGGACATCAATCTTAAACATTTTCAGGGGGATTGACTCCGGACTCCCTACAGGAAACCGCCTTCGGCGGTCCATATCTCGAACCCCCTCTCTAAAATCTTGTATCCTGATATAGGTATTTGACTACTGAGTTCCAAAAACCCTTGAGGCAGTTATTCACACAACCCAGAGGGCACAATCATAAGATCAAGAATGAATGAATTTGATAAAGTAAATAATCATGAACCTCTAGCACCAGTGATTGGACAGACTTTGTGATCATCCCGTTTTTTTTTTAAATAGACCATTACTCTCCCCAAAACGTGGTCATGTGTGCTCATACAACTAGCCAAAAGAAGCATTGCGATCAAGAAATTCATGCATAGTCTATGAGCATAAAACAAAAGATGTGCAGGGTCAAGGACCCGTCCAACATAAATCTTAGCCTGTTTGTTTGTTTTTTTTTGTGATGTTTACCGTACTTCTTAACCATTTCCCTCTATTGACTATGGCTTCGGTCTTAGACGTTAATGTAGCATCCATTGATAAAGTTATTATCAAAGCACAATACTCACTGTCAAGTGCTGAATTGACCCTGTTCATAAATGACTGCCAATTTAAAATTTTTTTGTATGTATTTAAATTGGCCCAACTAACGTCGTCTGAAAGCAAAAATTCTTTTGAATTATCAACTCAAAAACGAAGTAAGTTGGGCTAATTTTAATGCTTACGAAAGAATTTTTAATTGCCAGCCATTTATGAATAGGGTCTATAAACCAGCTGGAAATTGTCATCAGCCAGCTCAGTTTAAAGTGAAAGTGCTGAATATAATGGTAGGTCTAAAGAACTAAGAAGAGAAATATCGAGAAAGCTAAGAAAAAGTTAACTAGGACAAAAGCACCTGAATAAAAAGACAAAAGAACCTGAATAAATATAGCACGGTACAATTTTCGTTTGCGGCATTGCTCAGTCGGGATTTCTTTTTAATTTCAAGTTGCCTTTAAGAAGGTACTGAATTCTTGCTCCCTTCTGAATTTGGCAAAATTATACAATTGTCACAAATGTAGCCTGCGAACATTCCCTCCTGGCTCCTCGCCACTCTCGTTAGCGTCTCTACCGCCAACATAAAGCTGACTCACACGTAAAATCCACCAGCTACGCAGGCTATTCTTTGCACACGGCCGGTGCTTCTGAAATTTT